CTTACCCCACCTCCTCCCTCGCCAGCCCACTCCCTCACCCCGCCCCTTCTCCCCGAGCCCCCGTTCTTTACACCGCCCTCCCCCCGAGACCCCACCCTCACACCGCAAAAAATACCCTACATAAATTATGATTTGGACATGTACATGTGCATATTTATTTGTTTCTCCTAAAGCTAATTAAGTATTTTAGGGAAAAGTGTCTGTGTGGCCACCAAAACAGTGTGTTGTGAGAACCCTGCTCTGAGGGCCCAGCTTCCAGGTGCAAGGCTTTTTGCTCTTTTGAGCTTTCTCGGGAGCTCCTTTCCTCAGCAGCTTCCAGTCTCTATGATTCGCTTTCAGTGGAGCCCGGGTAACCCATTATCAGGCTCTTTAGCTGCCAGCCAGCCACCTAGGGATTGAATTACTTCCAGGTGGGGCTGGGTCGGCTGGTTCTCCTTTTCAGAAAACTGCCCCAGGTAGGCTGGTCCCTGAATCCCCTTAAAGGGCCAGGCCCTATGATATACCTTCCTCATTGGCCTAAAGCCAACCTGTACCCAAACGTTGGCTTGACCATGGCTAACACTTGGTTATGTTCTGCACCCAGGGCACACTTCCTGCCCTGTTGCCACAAGGAAACCTACAAGGGCCTTGGCCATATTTTTATTCTTGTCAGGGAAGTATGAAGGGACCAGAAGTTGTTTTCCCCAATCTGCTAGGGCAGTGCTTCTCAAGCTATCTGATGGGGGGACCGGCAATTTTTTTTCCAATGTGCCAGGGACTGGTGCCGTATTATTATCCTATTGGACGCTCTTATGGGGAAACTCGCTGCGGACCGGCAGCCGATGGCGCGCGGACCGGTGCCGGTCCGCGGACCACCACTTTGAGAAGCACTGATCTAGGTAGCTCCTGCAGTGGACAAACTCCCTGATAGTTTTCAGCATGTCATAGTTCAGAGCAACTTGTATTCTTTGTAAGTCAAATCCTTTGCTTTCATGTCATGCTCCTGTAGCAGATATGGTCTGGTTACAGAGCTTCCTTCTGAGCCAGATACTCACAGCTGTGTTCAGTGCGGGATCCTTTAGTGCTTTGCCAGGTGTGGCTAAGGTTCGTTTAAATAACGTATCTACACACAGGGCCACCTACTGGCTGAACAGTGTAATAACGTGTACCATTCTATTACATTTCCTCCTTTATAATATTTACATATCACACTGTCTTTGAAGTTCAGTACATATCAGTTTGTTAAGTGTCTCTGAATCATACTGGTTTTCTTATTACACAACCTGAATGTGTGACAACTTGGTCATTTGGCTGTCCATTAGTTGCAACAACTTGCTGGTTGGTCTGGAATACTTGAGTCTTCCTCTTGCTCTTCATCCACCATCTGTAGAGTTTGTTTTGTTGATTGTTCTTTTTGAGGAACAAAATGTTAATGTTGATTGTTTCTGCTGAACTCTCCGCTGTCTGTCTCAATCACTGAATTCTTTTTCTTTACTGTAGCTGGAGTTTCCCATCCTTGCTCTCCATCCATTGTGACACAAACACTTTCAACAAGGGTTTGACCTGATAGTTCCCTGAGTGTTGTCTGATGTAGAAAGGTTCATAAGTTCATTTTTCCTTTTTATCCAGTTTGGCTACTCTCCTCATGTCTGGCCATGTTGCAGATAGGGATTCCCACCCCCCACACTGGATCACTAGTTCTGAGTTTTCTTCCCCTCAGGACTTGTGCTGGACTATATCCAGTAATTGCTATTGGTAGCTCAGAAAAGCAAGGAATGAATCTTCCTGTTGTAGGATTTTCTTGGCTGTCTGTACAGCTCCGTAAGGCTTTCCAATTGCTTGTGGGTTATGTGGACTGATCAAAATAATATTTTGTTTAGAATAACTGCTGCAGTGAATAGTCATCCATTCTCTGTCACTAGTTGTTCTGGAATATCAAAATAAGCAAAAGTGCACTTCAGACTCTCAAGAACATTATGTTTTTCAAGTGCCTTCTTTCTAAAGACCTGGAAAAATAGTCCACAGCAACCAGGTAATGATGCCCTCTGAATTCAGTTAAATCTGCAGCTCTTTCAAGGTCTCTCAGGTAAGGGTGTTTATACACTGTATGGTTCAGTATTATCTCTTAAGTTGATTAGTACTGGATTTACTTTTAAAAGTCCAGTATCAGCCAATCCTCCATTGGGTTCTTCCACCTTTCTCACTAGGCCCATCACAGTTGCCATGCTGTGACCGAGAAGGTCGTTAGTCTTGGATCCTTTAAGCATACACACTCTGAATGCAACCTGTTCGACAGGTTGGCTGCGCTGCGTGAAGAAGTACTTACTTTTGGTTTTTTGTTTTAAACCTGCTGCCTATTAATTTAATCAGGTGACCGCTAGTGTTTGTGTTATGCAGAAGAGTAAATAACACTGGCCCGCCCCTCCCCTCCCCTCCCCTCCGAGCCCTCTTGTGCTGAGCACCTGCCTCTCCCCTTTCCCCCATCTGTTCCCCTGGCACTCGCCCCTCCTTGCATCCCATCGCTGCCCCCCACCAGTGACTCCCTCTTCCCTCATCCCCCTCTGCCCTGCTGCTGCCCACCTGCCTCATCGCCTTTTGCTGAACCCATCATGCACAGTCATCCTCTCACTACCCCCTCGGACCCCACAGTACCTGCCCACTCCCTGGTCCCTCCTCCGTCCCCTTACTCCCTCTGCTGCCCTGGCACCTGGCACTTCGCTTCCCTCTTTCCCCCTCTCCTTATCCGCCTCCTCCCACACTCTCCTGGCACCCCCTGCCCCGGCACCTGCCCCTCCCCCAATTCCCTCTGCCCCTCAGGGGCCCATCCCTTTCCTTGCCCCCTTCTGCCTGCCCATTTCCTTGACCCCTCTTAGTCCCCCTGGAGCCTACCCCTTACCTCGACCCCCTCATGCCTGCCCATCCCTCCTGTCCTCCTCGTTCCCTCTCTTGTGCTCACCCCTCCCTTTGTTCCCTCCTCTGGTGCCTGCCCTTTATTGTGCCCAGGGTCACCGCTTCCCTCAACCCCCACCTCTCCCCGCTTGTGCTAGCCCCTCCCCTCACTACCATTGGCTCCTCCCCTTCCCTAATCTTCTCACCTGAGTGACCCTCCTCTCCCCACCCCACCCTCTCCCCACCCCAGCCTACCCCTGCTCACCCCCACTGACCATCTCCCTCATGTTCTCCCCACTCTCCGATCCTTCTCTAATTCTCTCTTCAGAGTCAGACGAGCCCTCGCTCCCCTTAAAGAGCAACAACCCCCAGACTCAGCGATTAACGGGGATGTGGGTTAATTTCCCTTTGATCCCAGTGACCGGCCCCTGCCCCCAGCACTGACTCTGTGACTCTCTCCCCAGTGGACGTGACTCTGGATCCAGACACAGCAAATCGCTGGCTTGTCCTGTCTGAGGATCGGAAACGTGTGAGACACGGAGACACACGCCAGGATCTGCCCGACAACCCTGAGAGATTTGAAACTTCTGCCTGTGTCCTGGGCGCTGGGGGGTTCACGGGCGGGTGGAGTTACTGGGAGGTGGAGGTGGGAGACAAGCCTGAATGGGGCTCTGGGGGGTTTGTAGGGGAATCTGTGAGTAGGAGGGGGAAGGTCACAGCATCACCTAAACATGGATACTGGACATTGTGTCTGAGGGGTGGGGTATACAAGGCCCTAACCTCCCCTCCAACCCCCCTCCCCGTGAGCGTCAGGCCCAGCCGGGTGGGGGTTTTCCTGGACTATGGGGCGGGCGAGGTCTCATTTTACAATGTGACTGACAGGTCCCATCTCTTCACTTTCACTGACACCTTCTCCGGGACGCTCCGTCCTTGTTTCTATCCTGGTTACAGTGCTGGGGGCACAAACGCAGCTCCCCTGATAATCTGCCCGGTCCCAGCTCAGGCTGGAGGGAATTTCTGTCCTGTACAGTGACCCTGCGGCAGAGACTGGCCCCTCCCAGTCCAGCACCAGGCCTGTTCCCAGGGGGATGGTCTAAAGGGCATCACCTGCCTGACCCCCCTCCCTCAGTTCCCAGCCCCAGGCCTGTGAGCTGCAGGGAGAGGAGAGAGCAGAGAAGGGGTGGAGGGAGCAGGGCAAAGCGGGGTGCAGGCTGCTTGGAAGTGGGGATGCAGGGTCAGAGGGACATGCAGGCTCCTGGGCTTTTAAAAGTGAACATGTGGGTCGCATGCTGCAAGCATTTCAGAGCCGATGCTTTGCGCAATGAGTGAGAATGACAGTCAGAGAAATGCTCCTACCTGAAAGGAGAGAGCCATGAGCAGGTGGGGGAGTCCCGCGGCTCAGCCCCAGCCCAGAGCCCGGCTGCGCCGGGAGGATGGATCAGCACACAGGGCACTAGGAGGGAGGGTGGTTGGTTAGGGAAGAAGTTGCTGCCCCTGACTGGGGGGAGCACTAAGCATCTCAGCCTCCGATTCCCTACAGCCCATCGGCATGTGCCCGAGTTCCCATTGAACTGAATTCACCCCCCGTTACACACAGTGACCGGAGTGACAGAGACCTTTGTCTGCCCCAACAGGGCCCCGTCCAGCATTACCCACCCAGGGCGGGGGCTGTCTCTGTGCAGCGGGGGAGGGCGTTCAGTTGATTCCCAGGGCCATTAACTGCATTATCCGACTCCCAGAGAAAAGCCAATCCAGGAGCTGAGTGAGCACAACAGGTCCAGTGAGCATTTACTGTCCGGGGAGATTTCCGCAGGTGTCTGTTCCCCGCCAGCCCCATCCTTATTGTCTGCCTGGAACCTGGTCCCAGCATGATGGATGGGGAATGGGGGCAGCTGGGGAAGGGGGATCAGGCCAGAGCATAGGCACAGACTCCATGAGTGCTCCAGGGCCGGAGCACCCACGGGGAAAAATTAGCGGGTGCTTAGCACCCACTGGCAGCCAGCTCCCTCCCTCCCCCTCTCCCGCCGTGAACAGCTGTTTCACAGCATTCAGGACACTTCGGAAGGGAGGGGAGCACTGGGGATGGGGTGCACTTGGCGGAAGAGGTGGGGAAAAGGCAGGTCAGGGGGTGGGGGCTTGGGAGAAGGGGGTGGAATGGGAGCGGGGCAGAGCAGGGGTGGGAAGAGGCAGGGTGGGGTCAGAGGCTTGGGAGAAGGGGTGGAGTGGGGGCAGGGCCTAGTGCAGAGGCAGGGTCGAACACCCCCCTGGCTAGAGGAGAATGTGATGGGTTAGATCACAGAACCCCTCCCCCCCTTGGGAGCTGCCACCTGATGTGCCAAAACTACCTCTGCCCCTGCTTTCCCTGCCAGCTCGGGACCCCAGCACCCTGTCTTGCTGAGCCAGACACTCCTGTCTGCTCCAACACAGACCCAGGGTCCGAATTACTTGCCCCCAAAGCTGCAGACTTAACTGAAAGCAGCTAACAGAAGTGTTCTTGTATTTAACACTCAGATGCCCAACACCCAATGGGGTCTAAACCCAAATAAATCCGTTTTAACTCATAAATTGTTCACCCTCTATAACACTGATAGAGAGAGATGCACAACTGTTTGCCCCCTCCCCCTAGGTATTAATACATACTCTGGGTTAATTAATAAGTAAAAAAGTGATTTTATTAAATACGGAAAGTAGGATTTGAGTGGTTCCAACTAGTAACAGACAGAACAAAGTGAATTACCAAGTAAAATAAAATAGAACACACAAGTCTATGTCTAATACAGTAAGGAACTGAATACAGATAAGAGCCTCACCAGTTCCAGTAAGCTTCCTTTTATAGACTAGTCTCCTTCTAGTCTGGGTCCAGCAATCACTCACAGCCCCTGTAGTTACTGTCCTTTGTTCCAGTTTCTTTCAGGTATCTTTGGGGGTGGAGAGGCTCTCTCTTTAGTCACTTGAAGACAAAATGGAGGGGTCTCCCCTGGGTTTAAATAGACTTTCTCTTGTGGGTGGAGACCCCCTCCTCTCTCCTATCCAAAGTCCAGCTACAAAATGGAGTTTTGGAGTCACCTGGATAAGTCACTTGTCCATGCATGACTGAGTTCCTTACCAGCCAAGCCACATCCCTGGGAAAGCCCAGATGTGTGTTGGTGTCTCCAAATTCATTGTTGGCTTAAGTGTTTCTTGATGGGGCACTTACTGAGAATAGTCTTTTCTCAGGAAGCTGACCAACTGCTTCACTACAGCCTACTTAGAATCAAACAAGTAGGCAGCCAATATTCATAACTTCGAATACAAAAATGATACATGCATACAAATTGGATCAATAGATTCAGTAGAGAATGACCTTTACAGAGATATGTTACATGGCATATGTAGCATAAAACACAGTCTAGTTATGTTATATATAGATACATTCATAAGCATATTTCCATAAAGCCTTATGGGTGGCACCGTCACAGAGAAATCGGCACCTATGGGCCAGAGTTTGGGGATTGAGAGCCCAGCCCCACAGTGTGAGGGGCCCACGCTGGGTGAAGGGAACCTGCTTTTGGCAAGGAGCCCAGGAACTTTTCTCCTCCTCTCTCCATGTGTTTGCTTCACCCCAACCACACACGCCCCACTGCCACACACTTCTCGTCTGCCTGAACCTACTCCTGTGGCCTCCAACCTCCACTCCTCCCCCCGTCCCTCCTCAAAACCCTCTTCCCATGGAGCCCTGGGCCAGGGAACAGTGAAACATGGGACAGTGCCCTGGCTCTGCGCAGAGCATCAGCTCCCTGAGCAGGGGCCATGGCTGTGGGGCTGTCTGACATGCCCAGTGCTGGGAGGCTATAGGGATTGTGACTGGGTGCCTAGATGGGCCACACTGAGGATGCTATAACTCAGGGCATACTGCAAGGAATAGGGCAGACAATCCCCCAGGCTGGTGGATTCTTCTATAATTAGATTCACCGAGTCAATAACAAAATTACCTCTGTAATACCACACTGGTTATGCAGAAGCCACATACAATCCCCTTTAAGCATCGCAGTGTGTGTCCCCCATCTAGACAGCCAATTCCAATATAGTGAGAGGTTATTGAAAATCTGATTCACCATATCATAGATTCATAGAATCATAGAATATCAGGGTTGGAAGGGACCTCAGGAGGTATCTAGTCCAACCCCCTACTCAAAGCAGGACCAATTCCCAACTAAATCATCCCAGCCAGGGCTTTGTCAAGCCGGGCCTTAAAAACCTCCAAGGAAGGAGATTTCACCACCTCTCTAGGGAACCCATTCCAGTGCTTCACCACCCTCCTAGTGAAAAAGTTTTTCCTAATATCCAGCCTAAACCTCTCCGCCTGCAACTTGAGACCATTACTCCTTGTTCTGTCATTAGGTACCACTGAGAACAGTCTAGATCCATCCTCTTTGGAACCCCCTTTCAGGTAGTTGAACGCAGCTATCAAATCCCCCCTCATTCTTCTCTTCTGCAGACTAAACAATCCCAGTTCCCTCAGCCTCTCCTCATAAGTCATGTGCTCCAGCCCCCTAATCATTTTTGTTGCCCTCCGCTGGACTCTTTCCAATTTTTCCACATCGTTCTTGTAGTGTGGGGCCTAAAACCGGACACAGTATTCCAGATGAGGCCTCACCACTGTCGAATAAATGGGAATGATCACGTCCCTCGATCTGCTGGCAATGCCCCTACTTATACAGCCAAATGCCGTTAGCCTTCTTGGCAACAAGGCCACACTGCTGACTCATATCCACCTTCTCGTCCATT